TACCAAATTCCTGTTCTGAAGCAGAGGAACATGAAAGACAACTCATTTAGCAATTACACATTCTTTAAATCACAAAAGGGAAAATCACAGAACTGTAAGGAAAAGAAAAGCACTGCATTCAATAAGTGAGTGTCAATCCATGAAATGAGATTTTGCATGCACGTGATGTTCATGCCAGGCAGAACTGCAAAATTAAGTGTATTTATACCAGATGCAAAGGCAAGATGAGAAATGGAATATCAGATCAAGAGACAAAAGGACTGAATGCCTTAGGCTTTGAAACTAGCAAAGTGAGAAAGCAGGATGTTCATAAACTAAGGTAATTTTAAAATTGTATCATAATACTGTCACTAAGAGATTGTAACTTTTAAACATGACCTGCAAAAAGCATTCCAACTAAAGTTTTAGATAATCCATAGAAACCAGCTATTCCAGCTAAAGCATGTGAATTTATTATCTTAGTGAAAAAAAAAAAAAACACAAAAACAAACAAACAAGCCAACAAACCCCACAAAAGAGGACAGATAGTTTATACGGTCAGAAAGATTAACAAATTAAGCCAAAATTTTACCCAGAACTACATTTCTAATAGCATCAAAACATTAATGCTGATATATTGCCCTGGTGGTTTTGTATCTGTGGAATAGCTATCATGAATTTTACCCCAGTAAGCTAATATAATGTCTAGAGCACTGCATGTTTTGCAGAGTGTCTGATATGTTAGAATAGAAAAATAAAGAGGTCAATTAAATAAATAAAAACCTAGACTTCACTGCCAAAGAATTATATCTCACAGCTTTAATAAAGAGATACCAAGAAATAAAGTGAAATATGTATTTGTTTATACTCAAGCATTCCAAACAATGATTAAAATGACCTCAGACCTCAAACCTTTCACTTGGAGCTATGTTCTTCACATGGCAGCAAGAGACACATTCCTAGAATTTGATACTAAAACACTGTCCTGGAGAAAAAGAAAAAAAAAAACCAGAATAGTACTGATACTATTCTGTTCAATGGCAAGTCATTAAACTACCAGGCTCTCATCTGAGAACACAACTTGGAAGCTAATTCAGATGTGGATGAATATCAGTTTCCTCAAGAAGAGGTACTGAGAGGCCTGGCAAAATTATTTACCCAGTGCAATACAAGTGTGTGGACATGAACCTCATGTGGTAGAGCCTCTGCAAAATCATGCCCCCAGCTGCATCTCTCTGATGGAAATAGCCAGAAAAGTAAAATAGAAAATGAAAAATGAGAATATTGCAGCCAAATGACTGTTCAATTGACAGAGGAAAAACTAAGATGGTTGCAGGCAACTGAGTAAGAGCTGTTGAAGCAATTAGCATCCCAAGAGCAGGATTTGAATATCTCCTCAGTAGATGGTCTGTGTGTCCATCCTTGGTCTGTACAGTACAGGCAGGAATACACAGCACCTCCCAAGCGCTCTGGCAGACACCCTGAGTGTCTGTACTGAGCGGTGGCCTGAGCCCATGAGGGCAGGAGCGATGTAAGGAAAAAAAGGCCAAGACTTTAATCAGTGTTTGAGCTTTGAGATGATCTCTCTGTTAATCTGTCTGGTTTACAATCTGTGGTGTAGATATGTCTGTGTTACGTGATGTGACAAGCCTGCAGACTCTGTCACCTGAGACAGTGCTCTAGAAAAAGGATGTTTGGAAAAGGTAAGAAACCAAAACTTCTTTTAAAAAGCATTTTTTAAAATTGTTCACTGAATGTGACTGAAGCAGCAAAGCCAGGATAACTACACCACCTACAACTGACTTCTTATCCAGAGCAGTCCAGAATTGAGAAGTATGGTAACTATATGAGCTCATTAGCTGTTACAAATCTCAAGTGCCGTTAAAATAACAATTTTGAAAAAAGAATTAAAGAGAAACAAAGTATAAACAAAACCAACCAAGGATTTAAAAGTACTTCTATCTCAAAATATGTCCATCTTCCTTCTAGGACCCAGATCACAGGGGATGAGCTTCCACTTTTGCATACTGAATGGTGAAGATAGCATAAGTATTTCAAATGATGTTGAATATAGAGGCAGCCAACTTGAGGATATGTCAGGACAATCTGAAAACAAAAGTTTGTCTCACTGTTTATTGAAAATACAGCATCCCTAGTGCATTTTTCCACAGGCAAAAACTGTCTTCTCATTGTAAATGACATGTCTATTTGCATTGAGTTTATGCTCCGCATCTGGGAGATAATCATATTGCTTTATCCTGCTGCCACAGTTATCAAATAGAAAGGCTGGACTGGAAGATAAACTTGTTGTTATTTTTAAGTTTACAGAATGTATTTGGAAAAAAGTAAAAAAAGGCCAGTCTGGAGCAATATTTCTCAATGAGTATCAGTAGCATGTTGGTATAAACATACACGTTCCTTGGTTCCTGTGGAGCAGCACCGTGAAACTCCGCAGTAATAAAAGTGGGACGAGAGGCATGCAAAGGCAAACAGCAGCAGTGAAGCAGAGGCAGGAGAGCTCCCACAGCAGGGTGAAACTTTCAGTGTCAGAGAAAATCATGAACTTGAGGCAAGGCACAAAGGCAGCCACAGAAGACAATGCAACATAGGCTGCTGGTGGGACGGGTAACTCAGCCCAGGTAAAGCTCCACTGACTGCACCTGACGTCACTTAAAGGTTGTCATCACTGAAAGATGACACCAAAGAGCAAAAGGAAGACTGATGGAAGCACTGACTAAAGAACCCTCTTTATGTGCTGGTAAAATGATGCAAGAAAGGAGCCTGACCTGGCGACTGCTCTGTGACAGGTGACTTCCACGTCCTGTGGCAGAGCCTGGCAGCTGGACAGCAGTGGGCAGCCCCTGCAAGGACAGCTGCTTCCCAGGGGTGCTGCTCTGCGGGGCTTGCACAGCCCCCTCCAGAGCAGGAGCCTGAGTGCAAGAAGCCTTTCACAGCTCCAGGCCTTTTTCAGTCCTCAATCTCTTGTTGTAGACGGTTGCTGAAGAACTACTAAAATCTATCTGTGCTTATGGTCTGCCAGACTGTCCTTCCAAATGAGATTTTGCAGATGATATTGAATTAATTTAACCTATAGGCTCAAGTAAATTAGCAATATAACTTAATTTATTTAAAAAATTAAAAATCCTTTTCCTAAGTGGTCAACACCAAGTATTTGTAAGGAAAATAGAGGAAATTTTCCAAATCCTTGCTAGTTAAGTCGTAAAATATATGGCTTAAATATCTTTCTAAATGTATTGTAACCTATCTCAGATGTTCTATAGAAAAAAGAATTAAATAGCAGATCTTTCCTATGTTTTTGACTCTGTCTTGCCTAGTGTTCAACTTCCATGACATATCACAGCAACACTAGTAGTAATGCTGTAGCACAAGAGTCTAGAGAAATAAGTAGTGGAAGGCTTTGCCTGCAAGTAGTTAAATACATATGATTCACTTGAACTTCATTTTTTGTGTGCATTATTATGAAGTTATCTATGTCTTTTGTTAATCTTTAAGGTAATATTTCATTATTGTTTTAGCCCTATTAATATAGTATAAAGAAGAAATATCCCATTTTCTCTAATGAAGAAAATTAAAAATCAATTTCCAAACCATCACATTTAGAAAAGTAATTTTAAAAGCAATGAGACTATAATTTTGACTTGTGTAACAAATCAATTCATGTTTTAGAGCGCACACTAGTTAAGGGTGATTTGTTTAGCAAATTCAACTCAGTTTTCTAATGCAGCTCGTATTTTGTCCTGACCTTACTACCTCCATTTTCATTGTAGCACAGTAGGAAAACACATGGAGACCCAATGTTTCTTACAGAGGTTTTTATTACTGATTTACTGTTCCCCTTCTCCTCTGTACTAACATCCCATCTGAACCGCTTGGTTGCCCTCCCAGTCCAGTGCCCTCAGTTCAGATTCCTGAATCTGGTGCTGATTACCAAGCCCCCTCTGTGGGAGTCTGTTTCTGTGGAGGATGTTTAGCTTCTTTCTCCCCCGTAATCTGAGTCACAACATGGGGCAATGGTGCTCTGACTGTGCTGCCAGAGAACCACACAGCCAAATGCTCAAGTGCTCTGCAAAAATCTGCAAATTCTTCCTTTAGAGGTGATAATATAACATGAGAAAGTAAGATCACAGGTGTTCTATAAATAAGTAAACTAAGAGCATGGAGGCTAAATCACTTTCCAAGGGCCACACATATATGCAAAGCCAGAAACAGCAATGAAATATAATATGCTTTTGAAAGTCTATGAATTGGACTGTCAGGTAGATTTACTTCTCTCACTACTCAGTAGTCTTTAATAAATCTTTTATTGGCATAAATGTAGTGACCTTCCTGAAAACACTGAAACTTTCCCAGTTTCCAGAAAGAGAAAACCAATTCACCTTTTCTCTCCTTAGCAGAGGAAACAAAGTTTTTCATGCATAGGATCCCTGAGGATCAAACCCAAAAACATCTCTATTATCAACCCTGTGTTCAGAACAAATACAAAACTGTCCTGTATCAGCCACTGTGAAGAAAATGAACTCTACCCCCAACAAAACCAACACAATATTTTATTAGGCTTGGCTGGTACTGAAATAGGGCAGCCACATATTTTAAAAAATTTCAGAGAAAACTTGTTGGTTTTAACAAACATACCTTGGTGGTTTTCTTTTTCAGTCTGCCATTGAAATAGGAAAATGCAGATAGCCCAACCCAATTTTCTATACTTCTCTGGTGCAACTGGTAAGCTCTCAGAGATACCAGAAATATTTGAAATGGTTGAGCACCATTCCTTCTGAAGTGATGGAGCAGACCCCTCTTCTGCCACCATTGTCACATGCGGAGCGAGAAATATCTAATAGGTAAGGAGCGACTCAAAGACCCCTCAAAAGCTGCTGAGCTGTTCAGTCAGTTTGGCTCTGGGAATACAGAGCCAGAGTTGGATCAGATGTACAAAGAGCCTGTGAGCAGAGTTACATGGCTATAAACTTGGTACGAGAGGAGATTGAGCAAAGCAACTCAGGTGCCACAAGCACGATTCGCTTGCTGCTAATGATGTCTCTGTAACATCACAGGCTATCTCTAAGCTATATTTTCCACTGCCTTGCTGGCTTGCAAAACTTTTAATGGAACAAGTTTTTCTGGCAGAAGAACACTGATTTTTATCTTTAATGAGCAACCTCTCTATCATTTAGCTTCAGGAAACAGCTTCCTGGTTGTAAACTGCTTGAGACTGCTGACAGCCTGGCAACTTCAAAAGGAGCCAGGAGCAACTTTCTTGCTAACTTTGGGAAGGAATTAAAAAATGCTGAAAGGTGCAGATGATTCTGTTATGGAGCAGGAGGACTCTGCTTCCCGACGTGGAGAAATGACAAGTTGGGATATCAATGACATCAAACTTCCCCAGGTATGTGTCTGTGTCTTAGAAATGTATTTTGTTCTGACCAGTCACCTTCACCACTGATCTTAAATGCTTTCTCAGTCATCTATGACTCATTGCCTTTATACTCTTTGTCACCTCGAGGTATGGGGGAGGGTTTTGCTAAAAAATATTGAGAAAACATTGACATTTCCATGCATTTCTCTTTAAATGTATTATTGAAAGAGTTATTGATGCATGAAAAATAGCAATGCTGCAAAGGCATTGTTTTCACTGGTGGATTAGATGCAGAGAAAGCAGAGGTAAGAAAGGTGCCTCCTGCTGTGGGTACTTAATTAGAGTTGTCCAGGACTTGCTTTTTGCCCTGGGTAGTGTTTTTTGAGAAGGGAGCACAGCACACACCACTGCCTTGCAACTGTGGGTGTCCAGTCTCACTGCAGATCGGCCTCCAGCTCCAGAGCTGTCTTCCCACATGGAGGCAAGTCTTTTCATAAGCACCTAGGGAACCCTTGCTTCATGTTTGCAGTGATTTGCTGAGAGGCACAATAGTGATCTTCCCCTCCCCGTGTCCTTTTCTAGTTCTCTTAGCTAAAAGTTTAAACCATGCTCTCCACTGAAAGACCACAGCCTGCACACCAATGTCACTTCCCTGTCCCTCAGCTCTGCATATTTCTGCCAGATTCCTCCTGCTGCAGTCCTTCAGCATCCAGCTCTGCCTTTCAACTCCCAGCCCTGCCTTCCTACTGGATCCCAGCCTCCTCCCTACTATAACAGTGCTGTTTGCTCAAAGCCTCATGTTCCAGGATGTCCCCTTCCCTGCCCTTCAGCCCAAGGTCACCTTCACCTGCATTTCAGTCTGGAGGCTTCATGGACACCCTACCCTACACTATCCAGTGGCTACAAGGGGAGCATGGGAATTTTTCTCTTCTTGGTTGGTGTTCTTATTGCTGTCATGGCTCTCAGTTCTGGGATTAGGAATTTAAAGGAAATTTCTGCTAAGCTTTTGTATCCTTTACAAGAACTTTTCCCTCAAAATCATTATCAGGTATGGTAGATGCTTTACAGCTTACTTCATTTTCCTGTATTGACTGTACCCAGTGATGTACACTGATGTGATGTGTATTTGGGTCTTTGGGGTTTTTTTCCCAGTTTTATTTTTATTCCTCCTTACTCTGTTGTCCTTGAGGCTTGGTGTTTGTTTAGGGTTTTTATTTGTTTGTTTGTTTTTTTGTGTGGTTTTTCTTTTGTTTTTTATTGGTTGGTTGGGTGAATGAGAACAAGCTGCTGGTCAGGCCTTCCTGATGCTCTGGGGCCTGAGGGGAGCCACAGAGATCTGTGTTTTCCCTGCCTTATCTCCACTGCTCCCTCCTAACAACCAGCATCACCTTGCCAGGGTGCTAGAGTCACCTAGACTAGAGGAAACCCAGCAGAGGTCCAACTCTGCTCAGCTTCTGGACAAGCTTTTCTCTTCCCCAGCCTAAAATATGGCTTGCTTTGCTTCTTCCACAGCATGTGAGCCAGACAGACTGGTTTCAAGAATGGCCAGATTCCTATGTAAAACATATCTATAGCTCAGAGGATAAAAATGCTCAGAGGCACCACAGCAGCTGGGCAATGAGAAACACCAACAACCACAACTCTCGCATCTTAAAGAAGTCCTGCCTTGGGGTGGTGGTTTGTGGTAACAACTGCTCTACCTTGGATGGGAAGAAAATCTACCTAAGACCAGCCATATGTGATAAAGCCAGGCAAAAACAACAGCGTGAGTACAAACATGGCAGTTCATTGTATGGCAGCTCATAAGTGAACACAACATAGCAGAAATCAAAGTATAGGATACCCTCTGGATTACCCAGCCTTCCTTCTGCCAATCCTTATATTGCAATGCAACTCTTGATTCGGAACAGTGCATTTTATACTTCTTATTGTTGGGGCATAGTCATCTGCTTGTTTATTTTCCTTTTTTTTCTAATAATTTTTAAATATCTGTTTCTGCTGGTTAGGATTGGTTCCCAGCCTTCTCAGGCCCATGAGTGAGGGTACTGAGAAAGCTGTGCAGTGCAGGCAGTTCCTGCACTGCCCTGCTGTTCCTGCCCACCTGAGTGTTGACTTCACTATTGCACTGGCTCAAGAGTAACTCAGGAGGCAACTCTTGCAGGAAAGAGGTTGCTCATAAACTGTGATGACTGGAAAATAGGCCCCACAGTCACGTCACTGGAGCAAGACAATGCAAACAGAGAACATGAGCTGCATACACATTTTTAACAAGACCATTCCAAACAATTGTGATTGCTCAGTAGAGCTAGCACATACTGATTTCTGGGTCTGATGTACAATTAGCTAAAGAAAGGTATTACTCAGGTGCTCACTGAGACCAGAACAATGTTCTCAAGAAACCCATATGACATTCCAAACACTGACAAGAGAAAAACGAAAACTGACCATGGTAATAAATGATAAAATTGTAATAACATTTTAACAGAAATAATTTTTGATGTTTGTATTTAATAACAGACAGAAAAAAAAGGCAATGATTAGTTTGTTAATATTGATTTTTGCTTATGTTTGGAAGTTTTTCACATCGTTTCTTTCTATAATTTCTGAGGACCAAACCACAAGTGGCAATCTGCCACCAATGAACCATTGTATCACATGGGATTCATCTAACTGGTGTTGTATAGAAAATGTTTTCCTCTATCCTTGCTCCAGGGAAATGCTGTCCAAACTGCAATGGACCTCTGCGGCTCCTTTCCTGCCGAGGGCATGGTGGATACCCAGTTACCAACTTCTGGAGGCATGAAGGCCAATTCATATTTTTCCAGGTTGGTATAAAATTACCTAACATTATACAAGTTAATTTTAAAGACTGGTATTTTAAGTTTTATTTAGCAATTTTTTTTCTTCCAACAAATAGGGGTTATTGAATATGACAAGGTCAAATGACTGTAAGGAGAAAAAAATTTCACAAGGTCCAAAGTAACCTGATCTAACTCTGAAGTTAGTCCTGCCTGAGCAGGAGGTTGAGGTAGAGGGCCCTTTCAGCCTAAATTAGCCTATGCTACTATAATTTTACAGCACAGTGTGTTTTTTATTTAGGATTCTGGGAAAACCTGTTGATTTTGAAGTGTTTTGCCTCAGGTACATGGGAACCAACAAATGCTCAGAAGTCAGAAATACTGTATTATCTCTTCTTCTCCAAGGCACTATACATAATTGTGAGGGAATCTTGGAACAGGAAATGGGTGTACCCAAGGGACTGTCTATGGAAACTGCCATCTCTGTATTATATGTAACTTATATCTGGAGCACAGTGTATGCAAGTGTTTAAATAATGGGCACTATTTCTGGAAGCTGTAGTCCTGGTTTAGTAACATAACCACTTTCCTGTTTTCCACTCTTTCACTTATGTACAGACTAAATAAAATTAATTCTCTGTGGAAGCTAATGGAAATTAATGTTCAGATAAATATGTCTAAACTGTAAGAAGAATTAAAGTGACTGCAGGGATACTGTAGCCAAGCTGCAGAGGACCTCTGGCTTCAGCTGGAGCTCTGCTGGGGGGACTGTCTTCTACAAATAAATGTGGTGCACTGATTTTATTATTTCAAAGGGTTTCCACCCCATCCCACTTAATCTGGGATATGTTTATTATTTGAGCTCCCAGTAACTAAATCCTATTAGCTACAAAGCATTAAATTAGGCCATAATATGCGATTTTGGCCTATGGTATAAATTCTGTTCCCTTAAGATTAATAATGTTTCTTCTACCTTTAATATACCATAATTATTTTCTAAAGTCCAAAGGAGCTCATGACCACCCACGTCCAGAAACAAAACTAGAAGCAGAAGCAAGAAGATCAATCCAAAAAGCAAAGACAGCTTTTACTCCATCTTCTCTAAGACAAAAAAGAATCCAGGAAATAGAGGTAACTCTTGCTATTGGTCAACGAAATTTAGGTCAAGCGATCTGTGGTTCAAGGCATGATGGAGACCATCTGGGCTTTGGGTCTGGGTGGGGGCAGGCTTTACATTTCCACATTCTGCAAGCCCATGATCAGGCCAAGAAGGACCAGGGCTGTCCTGAGCATCCTGTTCTCCTTAGCGCTATCATCCACTGCCAGCACCTCCTCTCCAGAGCAAATTTGCACCTGGTGGCAGCAGGAGATTGCATCTACACTGGTAAACAAAGCAGGGCTGCAGGGCAGGCTAAGCTTCATCACCATTCACATGGAACTTCCTGTGCATTAGTTTCTGCCCATTGCCTCTTTTCCAATTTCTTGGCACTACTGAGAAAGGCAAAGGCATCCTCCACCTCTGCCTGTTCCCCTTGAGTTTTGGCAAGGTTAAGAAGGGGAAGATGCATAACCCGTATCAGTTTGCCTGGTTTGAAGGCAAAAGAGTGCTTTGAAGAACTTTCTGAAGCACTGATGTTAAAACATCAGCTCTGATGCATCAGAAAGCATCTCCAGAGATCCGTGGGACTGCTGCAGGACTGATGGAGAGACTCTCAGTGACTTTCTTTGCAAAGGCTGTGTTATACGCAATAGTCATCACCAGTGTTCACATGCAGTTTGTCTTTTGATATGTTAGGGGTGGTGCATTCCCCCAGTCTGGTGTTAGGGATAGTAATCCATGCCCTGTCAGCCACAGACAGAAGGGATAATTGCCCTGGGTGGAGACAGATTTCTTAAGTGGACGACATGGAGAAGCAAGGGGATCTGGACCCCAGAAGCAGGTAAAATGTGCACACAGGAAGTTAAACCCATTTGAATAGAATGTGAATTTAGCAGCTGCAGCTGTTTCTACTGGAAATACTCAGGAAAACACTAAAAACCAGAACCTCTTGACACAAGTGCCTGGGAACAAAAGTATAGGAAGAACCAACTGATCTGCCTAATTGTCTAACAAATACTGCACCAATGCTTTTCCTATCATTTGTTTAGGTCTGTCTCCATGAACACTGAAATAGTTTCCACCTAGGAAATATGGCTGAGCTACATGACTTTCTCTCTTTTATAACTGAGCCTACTGGTCAGCCTGCTTGCTTAGGTCAAGTTTCCTGTAGACATGCCTTCATCTTTCCCTTCTTAAAACGTCTTCCTGAGGCTTTCACTTTAAATTGTGTGAGATTAGACTAAAGGTGTCACAAATGTCTAATAGTAGAGCCTGCTCTTCAGCTGTTCTGACTCTGTACAGTCAGACTTAGACCATTTATCTTCACTGGCTTTCCAGTTCATGGCAGGCTTTCTTGGGAATAACCCATCATATTAGTGTTTTGCCAAACTAGCTGTGATACAACTAACTCAGGAGTCGGATTTGTCACACAGAACCTGTGTTGCTCAATCTGCAAAAACATATTCCAAAAAGATTCCGTTTTAATGTGTTCCATCTGAAAAATGTATTCTGAAAAGGTTCACTTTTAATGTGCTCAAAAGAAATCAGGGAGGAGAACTTAACAAAAAGGTATGAGCCCAAAATAGAGCAAGTGATTTATAGGATGGTCTCTCTATGGCATCTGAGGTGGGTCTGTAGCTGAAGGTGGGCTGTGTCCTACACCAGATTGTTGGAATTTTTTCTCATGGCGAGTGGAGAAAAACTGAAAGGAGCTTTGCTGCTCCAGCAATCTGCAAAACCACTATAATTAAATGGATGAAAAAGCAGAATTATAAAGAAGAAAGACCTGCAAGCACTCATTAGAAATGACTGTTCTGAAAGGAATTAAAGTTTGCATAATTATAATCCAATAATTGGAGCAATTAAAGAAGTTATGAAATATCCAGAACAGAAGACCCAGAAGAATAATTCTTGTGTGCTGATCCCAACCTGAATGAAATTTCTGTTTGTGGGGTAAAAAAATGTAAAGATAGGAAAATTTATTCATTAGAAATAGACTCTAGAAAAGCTGAAGAAGGATATTTTTGTAGTGAAAAGGTCACTTCAAAACAATCAGTATAAAAATCATACTTAGCTTTTCAAATCTCTATAGGAAAAAAAAATCTGTGGTGTCAAATATATTAACATAATTTCATGTTTAGGTCCTTCTTCAGTATGTGCTGGCAGTTGTCCTGAAGGGCTGTGAAAGCAAGGTCTAAATAACTCTTTTAGTGTAAAACAGGCTTTAGGCAAAAACTAGTGAAACTAACCCAGAGGCAAGAGCTGGGAGCCTTGTTCAGTTTGCCCCTACAGCCATGGGCACCCCCGTATGGTGGGGGAGCTCTGCTATGCCATCTGCTTTGTTACCTGTGTTCACAGAACCACAGAATGGTCAAGGATGGAAAAGACATCTAAGATGATCAAATCCAACCATCATCTTAGTTGAGTGCCTTTGTAAGCAGCTCAGAGAGGAGAGGTGCTACGCCGCACCTTGTTTTACTAACCCATGCCTTGCTTTCCCAAGTCTCTGACAGGTGCAGCGCCGACACAGGAGCCGTTGCCTTTGCTTCTTTCCAACCCGCCACCTGCTAATTTCAGGGGACATTTAAGCAAAAGTTCCCAGGAGCCAGCGCCGAGCAGCTGCGCGGGGCAGTTTCCACACGCAGGGACGGCGGTGGCGGATGGGGCCTGCGGAGAGGCACCGACCTGGAGCCGGAGCCCGTCCCTCGGGAGGAGCCCCCGAGCCGAGGGGCTGTGCCGGGTCCCTGCTGCGCCCAGCACTGCCGCTTCTCCCCGGCCCTGCTCCCACCGCAGCGCCCAGCACGTCCTGCCCGTGGCGAAGGGTGGCCGTGACCCCTTCAGCTCTGACGGGGGCCCTGTGGGACGCGGATCCAGTGGGGCGAGATCCCCGCTGGCCCACGGTGGCGGCTGCCTGTCTCTGCCGCCCTACCCCGCGCCTCAGGGCGGGCCCTGCCCCATGGCGAGCGGGGCACAGCCTCACCCACAGGGCTGGGCGAGGGCACCGAGTCTGCCACAACTACTGAACGGCGACATGTTTTTTAACCTGTACCCATTACGGTGACTGGGTTCAAATGTCCCTGCTAGCCCCTCCTCTGGCAATGGGTCCAATTCTCCACCCCTGTGGCTACACAGATGTGAAAGCTACCACAACAGATCTCACTTTAGCTCCTCTTGCAGGCCCCAGAAGGGGTTTTCATACCTGAAGACTTGTCATTGTTCCTTTTTATTTAACAGTCCTATTTCCCCCCAGTGTTTCATGGATCAAATAAAAGCTATCAGCTTCTCTTATAGACTGCCTCACTGCCATTCTGGTTTGGTAGCATTTCAACCCTCCTCTATACACAGCTTGTTCAAGCTGTGGGACTGTGGAAGGTGTAGATGGATGATCTCAAGGACCACAACTGTCATGTGCAACCTTCTGCACTCTTCCAGCTTCTTCAGGCAGTCTCTCTTCAGACCTAAGTTCCTCACTGCACCAGCCTAGTACTCGTGTCGTATTGAGATGGATGCAGGAATTCACATGAGAATGGAGTAGATGAGGAGAATCCTCCTCCTCCACCTGTGGTCATATTTCCTTTGATGCAGCCCAGGATACATTTGGGCTTCTGAGCTGCATATGCACACTGTCAGATCATGTCCAGTACACCAGTTGCCCTAAGTCCTTGTCTGCAGGGCTGGACCCAGTTTCATGTACATATATATTCAAGGTGCCTTGCTGCTTTTTCCAGGTGCTTTTCATTTCTTTCACTGCAGACTATAAAGAACCTTCAGCATCCATTCCATACATCATCCCCTTTGCTGACCACTAGCATAAGCCGTATTTCAGTAGGATCCATCAGTTCTCTACATTTGTTTAAAAACTAGGGTGCCAAATAGGAATTGTCTTGCCTGAATCTAGTGGCCCAGACACCTTTGGCAAAGATTCCTTTACATTTTCCCATAACTGACATCTGCATGTCTTTGCTGCATGCCTGGCCTCTGCTGCTCTCTGGACTGGGTTTCAGGGGCCACCAACCTCCCCTGCAGACGCAGGCACTAACACACCCCTGCTGCCACCCGTGCAAGGAAGAGCTGAGGGATGTCATGTACAACCTATGGAGCCACATTGTCGGGAGGACAGTATTACAAAACAAGCGGCAATAAAAACTTCATAGTACCTCAGAATGGGATGTATCACCTGTTCATCAAAGAGGTCTTAGCTCCCCCCTCCCCCCCAGTTTTTTTATTCATTGCTAGGGAAACCACTCTTCTGGTGACTGATGTAGTTCAGAGATATTTACAAGATAACAGTGAATTGTATTTATAGAGTGTTTCAAAATGTTTATTGGAATTTGTGGAACAGGATGCACAGCGATTTAAGTGGAAAAAAAATCTAAATGTAGATCACAGTAACAGTGTACTATTGTACATGAAGGTCAACTCCCCAAACTTTTTTTTAGTCAGTGAGTTACTCCCACACTAATTCCAAATTTGGCATGTTTTATGATTTTTAACGCAAAGGAGGAAACTTTGATCAACATTTATAACAACCTCTAAGACACAAAGAGAGGAATTAATAGGAGCCATGAACACTTGTGCTTTAGGAGGTGAGCTGCAGGATTAGGGACAGGCACCAGCACCTGCTGGGGCTGGTGTCTCATAGCTGGGATTCCTCAAAACAGCCACACAGGTGAGGGACCACACAGGACATGGCCCCTGCCATGGCCATCTGGCTCTGTCTTATCTTGTTTCTCCTCTGAATTCCTTGCCTCTCCACTGCAATGCTACTAGCATCACCTCTCAGCAGATGTGCCATTCAGATGTGCGGCTGGGAGGCTCCTTGGTAATTGTTTCCACTCCAAAGTCCCCTTACACTTATCAACCACTTCCTCTATTTTTAGAAACTTACAGCAAAGGGGATTTGATAACCAGTCCTGTTCCATGGCTTCTCTGTTCCAATTCCAGCTGTTAGCATTTTTTTACTCATATGATTTTCTTTCCTGCCAACCAACCCCATTTCTTCAAGTCTTTTAAGATGGGTAGCATCCAGTTACTAAGTTTCACAGGCTTCCTAAAGGTCTATTACAACCAAACCTTCCTAAAATATAATTCCGACCAACCTTTCTCCCTGCCTGAGAAGGAAGAGCCTTTTTGTTGGTTTACCTTTGAGTCTGAATCAAAAGGTTTCCAAAATTAAACCTATTCCAGTGATCTCAGCTCCCCTCAGTAGCTCCCTGCCATGGAAGAGCCATGCCTTCTTGCACCTTGCGTGCTTGTAATCCTGCACAAGCAGGACTGTCCTGCAGTTTGGGGGGAACCCAAAATTCATGCAGTGTTCATCACACTCAGCCTCTTTCCATCAGAAATACATTTCAGGCTGTATCTTACAGAAACCTAACTTTGATGTTTGGAAGATTTTGGCTCATGCGGCGTTTAAAGGTGAAATAGACACATAATGATAAGGAACTACCTAAATAGTACAAGTCAGCAACTTCACACCTGAATTTATTAGTGTATTTATCCTGAGAACATCAGATTGAGAAAGGATAATGTTTTTCTATCAGTCACAGCAAAGGGGAAATGAGAAAGCAGAACAGGGATTTGGCCCACATCTCTCCAGCCCTGGGAACATATACTGTGTTTCTTCTGGCCTTCTTCTCCCAGGATCTCTACCTTTGCATGTGAAAAAATTGCAGGTCAGACTGAGCAAAGACACATTTTCCTTTTCAACCTCTTGTACAAAGCTCCTGCCCCTGTGGAGATTGGCAAAACTATGGACTATTTTCTACATTATGGTCTTAAACACATTCTCTATATTTTCACATGAAACAAGGTCAAATTTCTGGTAGTAGAAAAGACTCCAGCTAAGGAAGCTTTAGAGGATACATCTCCATTCATTGTAGAGTGCTTTTCTTTCCTTGTGGTCTTTGGGATATTTAGTAATCTGTGTGTCTGGTATTCCTGGCAATTTTGCTCTGCTTTTCCTCAGGGTAGTAATTTGGGGCTTTTTAATAACTATGGTCAAGTACTCAATATTTTACTTCATTGGAAGCAATATGTAGAAGTGATCCCTGTGGTGGATCTCAGCAGGGATGTGGCTAGGAAAAGGCACTGTACTGAATCAGGATCAGTCAGCATAGATTGCACGAGTCAGGTTCAACTGCTTCAGGTGTTTAGATGTGCAGTTCCAATTGCTATTCATGCTCTGCTTTGATTACTGATTGCATCTATTTTACTCTGACACAAGCTGACTTGTTTAATTTTTCTTTTTAAATGAACTGCATCATTTTCCATCCTCCTCTGACCCTGCTGGGTCCTCATGCCAAGTAAATCCTCTTCCTCTCTGAGCTGCTGCAGTCCCCAGGCACTAAGAGGTTTTGGTCTTTCACAGGGTGAACTTCCCCAGCATTGTTCATCTCCTGAAGCAAGGAGGACTCACCATCAATGCAGGGGAAACAGCTTAGGGAACACTTAAACAAGCCCAACATACCTAAGTCCATGGGCCCTGATGGAATGCACCCATGAGCACAGAGGAAGCTGGCAGGTGTTACTGTGAGGTCACTCAATAATAATTGAAAAGTCATGGTGATTGGGAAAGCCTGAAGACTGGAAGAAAGCAATGTAACTTTTGTCTTCAAGGAAAACAAGGAGGAGGATCTGGGAAACTACACACTGCCTAGCTACACCTTGAAATGTGCAAAGGTAATGAAAAAAATCCTCTTCATAACTTTGCAAACACATGGAAGACTAAAAAGTGATAAATTTTTATCTTCTTGTTAGACTGTCTTTCAGCACAGTCTTCCAAAACATCCTCAGAGACAAGCCAATCAAGTATGGGATTGTTAAGTGGACAGTGAGGTGGACTGAAACCTCTGCTATTTTGTGATACTGGTAACACTTAGGATCAGTTATAGCTCTTCTCATACCAGAGAGCTGCACACTCCAGATGTTTCTGTTTGAATTACCCATGTGCACTGTGGCATAGCCAGAAAGTTATCTGAAATGTGGCATATGAAAGACACGCTGGGGGAGCAGGACATAAATATGGCATATGAAAGATACCCTGAGGCAGCCTTTGTGGCCCTGAAGGCAGCAGCATCAGCAATGTGATTGCCACAAGCATGCTTTGCTCTTCTTGGTGGTCCATTTGATTTCTGTGAGCAATGTGAGATGATCTTCTGTATAGCACAGATAATTTCTTAGGGGACAGGACAAGTGAGAAAGGTCTTTGGCCAGCTTTTCACTCTGAACTCATTTCTGCTTTCCAGTTTCCAGTTAGTAAGTGAGGAAGCAGAACTGTCTCTGTCTTGGGGGGCATGTCTCAGATGAGTGTTTTTCATTTCTCCAAATCAGTTGTGTCAAGATTTAGCTTCACATCTTTTGGCAATTGTGTCATCAGTGATGTGGCTTAAGTATTCAGTTCCAAGGGTTGGCCAATCTATTTGTTCTTCTGAAGATGAACAGTCATAAAGAACACACACCACAGCACAAAAGTGTCCTCTTTGCTCAGTGCTTTCTGTGCCTGGTGGAAACTGTTAAGCAAAGGTCAAAGCCACATGGCAACTGGGCATCCAGCTCCTTCTTGCTTCTAGAGGAGATAGCAATGTCCTGTGGCAGGATCAGGTCCCTCATTCCTTCACTCCCAGCGAATGTCCCTGCCAGGACACGGCATGGACCAGTTGGTGGGGCCTTCTGCCCCAAACACCAGGTGAGGAGGGGAGGCACAAGGACATGCTGCTGACCTCATGTCTACAGCCTCTCCCCTGGCACCTGCAGGTGGTGACAGCCTTACACTGGACTCTGGCACCTACAGCAATGAGTCATGACTGCCACAAGAACAGCTGTGACCAACCTAATGTCTCCTAATGCCTGTAGATGCTATAAACATTGGGTGTAATGAAAAGCTGTTTGCCAAACATCCAGATGTTCTCTGCTCAAGTCACAGCAAGGACAGGAGGTAACAACCATGATCTTCAGTGCAGACCAGCAGTGGCTGTGGGCAGAGCAGGATCCCTGGGGGCAGGCCCCTCCAAGCTGACAGCAAAAGCAGCAGTACATTTCAGGATGGAGAAAGGCTGGTTT